TAAATCTTTTATAAAAATATGTCTTTACTATCACTTTTTATCTATTTAACACTTCCTTGCTGAATATTACTGTTTTTTCCCCTGTATTTTTGATCAAATAAATGCAAGCATAATGAGCATAAGACATTTTTCTCAAAAACATTAAAAATAGTAATGGGTCCAAACTTTTGACTGGTACTGTATATTAATCAGACTTTATCTAAGGTAATCTTTTTCGTTTGATGAAGATGTTGTTTGTTGTTATTATTCAATACTACTACAGTAGATGAACATAAGTGCTTTTATCATCTTTTTCCTAGATGCGGCATGGGCAGGATTTCCCCCTCCAATTTAATCAATATTGACTACAGATATTGTCATATTATTGATATCAATAATATTATATTATGTATTGCATTGCATTGTTACTTTAAATATATATATATATATATATATATATATATATATATATATATATATATACACTATATATATATACTATATATATATAACACAATATGTATATACTGTATATATATATATGTATCACTGTAGTGTATATTTAACCGAGGTCCACTCACTCGAAAATGTCTGGCCTCGCCACCCCTCTGTTTCTAGACTGACAGGTTCCTGACGTGTGAAAGGTGAACATTGAGTTCAGTCTCCACCTCACAGGAAACTCCAGTGTACAGGTAGGCTACGAAAAATATTACAGTTAAAAAAGAAAGATTGGACAAAGTTTAGAACTGAAGGTTTCAGTTTATGATTAAGAATGCTAAGTTATATTTACTGTGCTGAATTGAGAGAAATTAAACTGCTAATACATTAATAAAATGATCTTCCACTCTTGACAATATAATTACTGTCAACTACTCAATACAAATACACAATTATCAAATATACTAGTACAACTTTCTTTAGATGACATATGAAAACACCTCGGTCTGTGAGAACTATAAAGCCTCCAGCAGAACAGAATTCATTATCAGCAAACAGGCTGGTGATAGTTTATTTTTTATTTTTTTTATTTTTCTGAGTCAAATCCCTTTAGCCATTGTATTCTGAAAAGCAATACTAAAAACTAAATGTGTTGCATCAGTAACTGGTGTATTTTGGTGTGTTTAGTGTGTTTAGTATGGATACAGTGGGAGTGAATGTGATTGAGACAGCAGCTCTAGGAAGACCCTTCCAGCTGGGCATGCTGTATGACTGCAGGAAAGATGCTCTCATACCAGGTAGCACAACACTAACACTACTGTTCACCTTCAGTATCCATCGCATAACGTCATCACTGAGAAATGATCATTTAACGAATGACTCCAGTCGATGATACTGAACCCAGTTATGTGCTCAGAGCATGATGGCAGTGATGTGTAGCAAGTTTAACTTTTAAAATCTGATGACAAATTAAATTAAGCTGCCTTTTTTGACAAGGAATTTTCTTGTTATTATAAAACTAACATTCTAGAGTGAAGAAGTGTTGTAGCCTGTACAATTTAGAAGTATAATTAAATAAATGCATCATGTCATGAACACAATGAATGATTATCAGTGAATTAGAGTTGGTCATAATGCTGACAATTCCTTGTAGGTTTTTCTATGCATCATTTTCCTCATTTTCCTCATTTTCATCATTGCTGTAAGTGGCAGAGGACAATTATATATAAACTCATATCTCAAAAGTGACTGATCATGCTCGACTGTCGCAATACTGTTGGGAAAGTGACACTAATAAACCCATGCATCACATAAACTATTTTATTTCATTTTTAAATATTAAAAACATCAGAAAGCATGAGTTTTACAGCAGAAAAGTCATATCAAAAGCACACTGATCAGTGTTGTGTCTATAGACATACATTTTCCTTCTTATTTCTATCACAGGAATCACACTGTGGCATCCAGAGAAGCTCCAGGAGAGCTTACGAACCCGTCCCCAAATTGACACTGATTTCAAAGTCTCTGCTTCAGACTCCATTGAGGACAAATCCACCTTACTGAACATCGACGGCTCTCTGAAACTCAGTCTTTTAGGTGGACTGGTCAATGTGACAGGAGCAGCCAAATATCTCAACGACACCAAGAAGTCTTTCAGACAGCAGAGACTGACGCTGCATTATCACTCCACCAGCAGGTTTGAAGAACTGACCATGAACCACTTGGCTTCTGAAAATATAGTTTATCGTGATGTGTTTGATAACGATGCAGCGACACACGTGGTGACAGCAGTGCTGTATGGAGCAAACGCCTGCTTTGTGTTTGACAGAGAAGTGTCAGCAGATGAGAACAAAAGTACAGTAGACGGAGAAGTAAACGCAGCCCTTGATGCACTCAAATTCATTTCAGTAGATATAAACGTCAGTCTGAAGATGAATGACGTGCAGAAGAATGCAGTCCAGAAATTCACATGCACGTTTTACGGTGATTTCCAGTTACCGTCAAAACCGACCTCTTTTGAAGATGTGCTGAAGGTTTTCACTGATCTTCCAAAACTGCTGGGAGAAAAGAAAGAGCTGGCGGTTCCTCTGAGAGTTTGGCTTTATCCTCTGGACAAACTTCACTCGAAAGCTTCAAAACTTCAGAAAGACATCAGCATGGATCTAATCACGGCGACTGAATCAGTGATTGAGAGTTTAAATACAGCTGAGATGAAATGCAGTGACCTTCTGAAAGACTCACCTGCCTTGACTTTTGCTGAATTTCAGAGTAAAATACAGCAAATGAAGCAAAACTGCTATACGTACAAACTGAAGCTCATGAAGAAACTCGGCTCTCTGCTGCCAAACATCCGTGGAGACGTGATGAAGGAAACTGAGCTGAATGATCTTCTAAAAGAACATAATAAATCTCCATTCAGAGGACAAGACCTGGCAGAATGGCTGAAAGAGCGAGAAAGAGAGTCTGAGATCATTAAATCAGTCCTCAGACAGCTGAAGAATGCTGGTGCACAGGTAGAAGTCAATCTAGATGTCATCTGGATGGATCTGGAGGTTGGAAATCTGGTCTGTTACACGTTCACATCATTGGACTGGACAGACGTGCTTCTTCCTAAACAAACCACCTATCTGAATCCTTCAGCAAAAGGAGAAAATGATGTGAACTGCCCTGATTCAGAGCAAAAGTCTTGGCTCAGTCCTGAGATCCAAAAGAGCATGAAGAGCAACTTAAAGATATTTAAGAACTTGATCAATTCAGAAGACTGTAAACCAGCCAAGTTCATTGTGTCCTCAAGAGAGATGAAGAATAATCCTGGCTCCTGTATTCTGCTGTATGAAAGTGAATGTGATGAAGCTGTTTGCTTTATTCCTCCATCGAAACCAGTCTCTCCAGTCACTGAAGAGATCACAGAAAACACGATGGTTCTGAAGGTTCCTCCAGTGTGTTCTGCTACAGTGGAGCTGAGATTACTCTATAAACTGAAGCAGGACTCGGTCTGGAAATCTAAACCTGTGATGAAGAATCAACACACAGTTACTCTGACTAATCTAAGAGCAGAAACTGAGTATGAGATCAGATGTGCAGCGCTGGGGAAACTCTACACCGTATACAGTGACGTCACTAAAGTTTTCACAGAGGTATGATGATCTTTCAGTAAAAATTATCTGAGAATGTCTACCTTATCTTGGTTATTTGCAATGTTGTTCATTTGTATCAAATGCTTCTTTTAGGGAAGGAACAGTATGAGTATTGGTGAGTCATATTTTTCCTACCTATACGTTTTGTAAAACATTGTTAAATTATGGGACTTTGCGACATACAGTGGGGCAAAAAAGTATTTAGTCAGCCACCAATTGTGCAAGTTCTCCCACTTAAAAAGATGAGAGAGGCCTGTAATTTTCATCATAGGTATACCTCAACTATGAGAGACAAAATGAGAAAAAAAATCCAGAAAATCACATTGTAGGATTTTTAAAGAATTAATTGGTAAATTCCTCGGTAAAATAAGTATTTAGTCACCTACAAACAAGCAAGATTTCTGGCTCTCACAGACCTGTAACTTCTTCTTTAAGAGGCTCCTCTGTCCTCCACTCGTTACCTGTATTAATGGCATCTGTTTGAACTTGTTATCAGTATAAAAGACACCTGTCCACAACCTCAAACAGTCACACTCCAAACTCCACCATGGCCAAGACCAAAATTGTAGACCTCCACCAGGCTGGGAAGACTGAATCTGAAATAGG